GCTAAGGGAGTGAGTTTTTCTGCTCCTCTGTCAGAGGTCCATTTATTTGGGAGCAGATGTGGAATCTATTCACTGTAACTAATTCCATATACATGAACAACCCATCCACTTTTTAAAAAAATCCTGCTACCAGATAGCAGAAATTTTAAAACCCCAAACCCCACAAAAGCGCAGGGCTTGCTGAAAAAGCCAGCGCATGTCCAGCCACCCCTTTGCCCGCCCAGTTGCCCCCCGTTCACTCACTCACTTGCCCTCTCAGCTGGGTGAGCAGGGCTGGAGGAGGGAAGAAGTCTGATTATTGGGTCTGACGTTGTCTTAAAGCCAGGGCACCCACTTCCACCATTCCCAGCAGGTGCCAGGGCTCACTGGCTCAGTGGGAAGGTATTTGTGCACATTGCACAGAGCCAGGGCACCAAAACACCAGGAGGGAGGAGAGGGATTGGGGAAGGAAACTGTGGAGAGCCATACCTTTGGGCCCATAATTTTATTTGGAGCAAGAGAGGAGATGGAATGTCAGTGTGGCAGCTTGTGTTGTACATGCCTTGGCAGAGAATCCTGAGAAATCATGGAGAAGCAAAAGAAAACAAAACTCCCCATAGACTGCCCCGGCTGTGAAAGTTCCACAAGACCAAGCAGCAATGAAAGGCCTGGGACAAACTTTCCCTGTACCTTGTAGGAAAGGGTGCACAGCATACACGCCCAAGTAGAAATGGCAGCAGACTCTGCAGGTATAATTTGACACCTATCTGGTCACCAATAGTAATAGTAATAGTAATAGTAATAGTAATAGTAATAGTAATAGTAATAGTAATAGTAATAGTAATAGTAATAGTAATAGTAATAGTAATAGTAATAGTAATAGTAATAGTAATAGTAATAGTAATAGTAGTAGTAGTAGTAATAATAATAATAATAATGAATGAATGAATGAAGGGTTGTCAACTTCCCATCTAGCTTAGTTAGCCAGGATGTATCCTGATGTTGTACCTATCATGCTCCCCCCCTGCAATCCCAAAGATAGCTCCACCCCTTGCCTGACTACCTCTGTGACCTCACGAGGACCTATCCCCTGCTCTCAGATTTTGACACTTAAATCTCAGGGAAAGGGAGGCTGCTGCTCACTGGCAGTCCAGCCCCTCACGCAGATGAGAAAAGCAGCAAGGAGAAGATGTTAATCCCCACCCATTTTTGCAACTGTAGGACTCCAATAAAAGCCAAGGTCCCAACGCTTACTATAGTTTAGGGTAAAAATGGTGAGTGTAGAGGAGGTCAATAGTTGCACTGGCCTTCAGCAAGTAGGCTGAAGGAGACAGCGCAAAGTTCTCTCACTCGAAGGCAAATGTGTGAAGACACACACAACACAATGGATGTGACTCCACTTTGCTGAGGCTTCACTTTGTGAATTTTAGTTGCACAAAACAAAATTGCAACACGGATTGTACAGGAAATCTGTCAGGGGCAATGTGTGTATTAGAAACTGCAAAGCCTCTTTGAGATCCATTCTGTTTATCGAGCATCAAGATGAGGGAAGGCAGGTAAGCGTGATGCATCAGTACCTCTGACTTCTGCAATAAATGGAACCAGGTTGCCACAATTTGCCCGTCCAGCTGGCTTTTTCCCCCTTCCTCAAATATACCTCAGCACAAGTGTGAAGGAACCTGCTAGATGTTTTGGACTACGACTCCCAAAATCCCACTTACCATTGGCCATACTGAATAGAGCTCATGGGAATTACAAGACAGACCATCAGGATGCCCCCAAGTTCCTTCTTTAGCATTAAGTTCCAGTGTAACAAGGGGCTGACCTGGTCATGAAGAAAGCATGAAGATTTGAGGCTTGATGGCTATTGCAAGTAAATGGCTGGATAGGGCCCAGTCAGTCCCATTGACTTTGATCATACTGGATGGCATGTCAGCTTTGCGGAAGCCTCCAGAAGCAGCCAGGCTAAGGCTGTGTTGTGGCATAATGATAGCCTATAAAGCAGTGCTTAGAAGCAATAACCGTGCGTTTTCTCCTGTCACTATATCTCAGAATCCAGTTTCCTGAGCAGCTTACCTCATTACATTTGGGGCAGCTCTAACCGAAGATAAACTAACTGAAGATAAAGCTGATGCAGTTTAACTGACTCAGATATGTCTAGAGGAAATGAAAGTGCTGAACTGGGGATATGTTTCCATGTTGCTGGCAATTTTCATATGGGCTGTTGTATCAGAGACAGGAGAACTTGCATTTTCCTATGGCTAAATCTCTGAACTTGGAAAGCCTCTGTTCAAAACATCCCATAATTCCTATGAAGTAACATAGCCTATGTTGTTGCAAAGATTCTGAGGAATTCTCTGGTGTTCAATGAAAACTGACCTAGCTCCTCCTGAGATAAATCTAACTATGTCATCCACGTAGGGTTGTGAGGTCTCAGGGTGGTGGCTGGAGTCTCAGGAAATTGCTACATTTCTCTGAGTCTCCAGGGATGAAGGCAAATCTGAGGTCAAGTGGGAGTGGAAGAGAAAGACATTTCCATCTTCACTCATTCCCAGCAGGAAGCAGGATTTACCAGCTCTGTTCCCCTTCCAAAACTACATTGACTCTTTTGATGGCACCTGGTCCTTCCCTTTAATTATTACATAATCAGTAAAAGCCTAAGTCTCTATAGTTTTGTTTGTCAAACAACACTGACAGTTCTACAAATACATTATCACATAAAATGGGTTCCCTTCCATCCTCTTTTCCGATGATGCACAACTATTTATTTCATTGGAAACAATGGATACTACATTTAGAATCAAACCAGATTATTAAACCAACTTCAAATTATGATATAAGATCCGAGCTTTGTCCATAGTTGACAGTAACACAAATTTCTGGGTTGAGTAAAGTTGGAAACCATGGTCAGCTAAAGATTCCCAAGTTTAATTATTCAAATCATGATACCAAACCAAGAGGTTGCATATGATGGCAAAAGACTTATTCATATCCCAAATTATGAAGCCAGAATATAGTTATTTGCATGTCAAGAATAAATGTGACTGGTAACGTTTTTCAGCTTTGGGAATCTTTTCTGTTCTTTCCAAAGGCATATGGTCTTACTAAATTCTGTCAAGTAAAACAAAGAGCCCATTAGGCTATCTGTCTTCTGTTGCAAATGAATCCAGTTGATGTTAGTTGGATACAGTCAGTTTCTGATGGAGCAGTTCTGAAAGGAGGCACATATGAGCACAGAAAGAATAGTCTAGTTCACTTATGTGAATGTACCTATTACTAGCAACAGTGGGGGAGATGTATTCGCGAAGGCTTTCACGGCCGGGATCTAATGGTTGTTGTGGGTTTTTCGGGCTCTTTGGCCATGTTCTGAAGGTTGTTCTTCCTGACGTTTCACCAGTCTCTGTGGTTGGCATCTTCAGATGACTGGAGTAGGAACTCTGTCCATGCTGAGTTCAGATAACTAGAGTAGGAACTCTATCCATGCTGTCCATTGACAGAGTTCCTACTCCAGTCCTCTGAAGATGCCGGCCACAGAGACTGGTGAAATGTCAGGAAGAACAACCTTCAGAACATGGCCAAAGAGCCCGAAAAACCCACAACAACCAGTGGGGGAGATGTTGTGCATGTGACTATCACAGATCTAACATCACAGATAAAATTCACATACCACTTCACATCACCTGAAATACCATGGTGCCCTCCCGCCAATTGTGGAGCAAGTTCACATTTTCAGAGTCCAATTATCAAATGTACTATAATTATAAGTGTACAAACCTACCAATACATGCCTCTGGTGAAAGTACAAATCTTGCAGTCTTTTGTTCTGTGAGGAATCAAGGAGGAAAAAAAATCCCATTTTTCTCCTCACAGAGAGATTTCCCCTTTGTTGTTTATTTGGTGGCGTTGTTAGAAATCTCACTGGGTTTTTTGAATATTTTATGGCCCTTTTTCTCCCTCTAAAAGAAACACCAGTGTACACAGAATTATTAATCTCTGTCCTATGCAAAGTTCCCTGTAGGGAATTGAGCTGCACAGATTTGGGCAGTTTCTTTTGCATATGAACCAGCAAAAATGGCTTGGGGGGGAGAAACAAAAAATGAGATCAGGGCTCACTTTTGCAAGGCATTGTGGCATCTCTTTGGTGCAGGGTGGTGTCCTGGCAAGTGGTTTTAGCCCAGCTAGATTTGGGAAGTTCCCAAGGGTGATAAAATTTTTCAAGTGTGCCTCATGTCCCTAACCTGTGCAACTGCCATATCGGCAACCCAAGAAGCTCTAGAGAATCCCAGCAGAGAAGGGTATTGATTCAATCCACCATGTCATCTGATCAGATGTGAAGTATGTTGGTTCTGAAGTGAGATAAAAAACTGAGTAAGCATACAAGACAGACCACAGGGTGAATATGAATGTGTGTATGGGAGCTTGAATGGAGGATGTGCATAAATATATACACTATTGCACAGGGTGTGAAGAATGTGCACAAAAGAACAACAAGTAGCAGTGACAGCTGAGGATGTGTGGATTTCACACATAATGTACACAAAAGAACAAGTAGCAATGACAGCTGAGGATGTGTGGATTTCACACATTGACTGGGAAATGAGCATAATATTATATGGAGGATAAACACACAAGGGACTTCTGTATTTATGCAACTGAGCTGTTGTACATCTTCCACTATGTTGTTTGGAGAATATATGAGTTATTCCATTATTCTTTGCTTATATTGTTGATTTGGGAATGCGCTACATGATGTTCAGTAAATGTTTCCAATAAACAATATTTACACATAAGCATATGATCTGCTCTGCACGGTATGACTACAATGCACCTTGGACTGTCACCACAGAGTAGTGCTCATGAGTTGGGCATTCTCAGGCCTTACCAATCCCCACTCCACCCATCCCTTAAAAACCTGCTTTACTGCAGAGAAAAGCTCAGGTACTTTAGAGAGGACATCAAGTCACCACTCTGAAATGGTCTCTTTACCGTCTCTTTCTTTTTGTCCCATCTATTTTCTTTAGGGGCTACCAAAGACATGGGAAAGATGCTGGGAGGAGAAGAAGAGAAGGATCCAGATGCTGCCAAGAAAGAAGAAGAACGGCAGGAGGCCCTTCGGCAGCAAGAAGAAGAGAGGAAAGCTAAATATGCCAAGATGGAGGCTGAAAGGGAAGTCGTGAGGCAAGGGATTCGAGACAAGGTAAGCCTCACTTTTAGACCAGTCGTCCATGTGGGGCCTGTGATTATGGGTGAATGTGAAAGCAAATGGCCTGTCAAAATTCTTCCCCCTTTTATTATATGTGGGTAATCCCCATTCTTGGAAGTAGGAGTCATTACTAACTGCGGCAGTAGCACAACCTCTCCTCAACCATGGTTTTGTGTTGTTGCTTTTGTTGTTGCTGCTACTTCTGTTGCAAGCTGCAGGATCAACAACCACATCGGCCACCATTTTGTATTGCCCATCGTATTCCAGGCTGAGTTTAGTGCCTTTCTGGGGATGTTGAGGGAAATAGTGCTCCCCACAGAAAAAAAGCCGTGGATATTCGAATGACATGTTGTCAAGTGATTATTATCGAAGGGTGTTTTTAACCCCTTCCTATTAAGGGAGGAAAAGAAAAATCTCAAAAACCTTCTGAGAAAAATGTATCTTATGAAGATTTGACTCAGAAATGGGACAAGTTCCTTTTTTGTACTACAATTCCTAGAACACCTCAACTAACATGGCCCCAGACCATGTTTATTAGGCTACACAAGGAACTGTAGTTTACCATCTCTGATTCAGCATAGCTTTATGTAGAACTAGTTCAGGACTTATGTCGCACATGCCAGCAAGTATACTGCAGAATAAAGCCAAGATGATTCAGCAGGAACATGGAAAGCATCTCTGCCCCAAGGAGCATGCATATAATAGGCATTTGAACAGTAAATGAGTTACGGTAAGCAGAAACTGACAATAATGAGCAGAGAGAACAAAAGAAGTCTACCTGCCATTTGTAGCATTACAATTTAATAATTTTGTACATATCTTTGTTGACCGTCTCCCAATGGCAATTCTGTCTACCTCTTTGGCGAAATGAAACCAAGACCACTCCGGTTATACTGGAAAAACTTCTCCAAGGTTTCAGTGCTTTACACAGTTTTAAACATGCACTCTATAGTACATATCTGAGTGCATATAGGATTGCGAACATTGTTCATTTAAATATGCATAGAGATCTTTTAACTAACACAACCAGGGGTCTGGAATAACAGTTTTTACAGACTTCCAGCTGTTGTGTAATATTCATCTGGAGGTGGGTCTTGCATGAGAAAAATGGAAAGAGATGGGGAAGCTCACTACCGAGGAGCTTTCTGGCCGACTTTGCAGGCTCTGTACGAACTGATGTGCTGAGGGAGGGGGGGGGATGGTGAAGCATTGAGAATGCCCGAAGTGAGGTTTCTAAATGTTTCTCCCATTTTGGATTCAAAGCTCTGCTTAGTTATCATTGAAGAGTCCATGATTTATTTATCGCTCTTCGCTTTTGATGAGCTGTTTTCTAGGGGATGTCAAGATTTGTGAGTTGTGCTCGAAATGGTGGGAAGGTCTTTGAAGAAGGATGCTTTGCATCACGTAGAAGGATGCAATTTAAGGGCATTTTTTGACAGGAGCTGGTGAATTCTTGGGATAGGGATCATTGCCAAGTATCTTTAATTTCACTCTGTGCCTCATGTTACATAATGTCTGGAAAGCAAATGTAATTCTGTTTATCTTTCTTGTAGTATATAGCTTCAACAAAGGTACAGTAAAGCAAGATATAAATTGGAGCATGTTTACATTATCAGATGCTCTCTAATTATGTAATTCATGGGGATGGCAGCCAGAAAGGAGGAGACTTACAGTTGATCTTGTTTAGAACTGCCAGCCTGATTATACCAGAGGTTTGATGTATTTCTAAAACTAAGGAGGAGTTGGTGTGATTAGGTCCTGGCTGAGAGACTTGTGGCAGAACAATGTCACATGTCTGAGGCTGTGGTCACACCAGCAAGGTGTTTCCGAGTTACGCCTTGTGAATGTTGATCCTTTTTTGGGGGGAGGGTTCAGATGACACAAGACCATTGTCAATTCTTTTGTTCCCCCACCCTGTGCTGTCTCCACATCAAATCCAGCCCACTGGGAGGCCACTTCTATATTTGTCCCACATTTCATCATGCAGTACAACCAACATCCCACTGAGTATGTACTCCAAAACCAATTCATTTCCTGTGCATCTGGCATGAAGCCTCACCTCCCTGACTTAATTTTTTAAAAATTAATTTCCAAATGGGAATGTTGGCACATTGGTATACTTCTATCAAATACGGCGCATCAGTCCTCTGACTGTCTTTTGAGAGTGAAGGCCACATCATATAATTTCAACATTTTTGAGGGCCAAAGGATGCAGCTGCCTGCATGGATGAACCCGCCCCCCAGACGCCCACCTGCCCACTCTCCCGCCTGAACATGCATGCACTTCCCCCTCTGTGCACATGCACACATAGGCTGAAGGGAACAGGCTGGATAAAATGGTAAGGTGAGCCGGATGTGGCCTGTGCCATAGTTTTGAGACCTAGTGTGACAGTAGCCTAATTTTCTAATCAGGATACAAATGAGAAGCACCATGTTTGAAGTGTTTTCTTTGCTTCTGGCTCTCTTGAAAAAGGGTTTTGGGGTGATCTTTGCTTTAAACATGGAAGGTATAACATATATTCTGAGAAGCATTGGATTTTTTTTTTGTTTTTCTTGGGTAGGGATAGAAAATACATTCATATTAAGCAGAATTTTCTTACAATGTTATATGATGTTATCCGATTTGTGATCTGTGAGACCATTAGTCTGCATGTCTTTTCTTTCATTCTTTTCCCTCTTTTAAAATCATACATAAATAAGTGTGTGCAGTTTAAATGCAAACTATTGAAGAAATGTGTGTGCAGAAATGCTCTCATGAAAGGGGGAAAATGCACATATTCAGAAAAATGCTTTAAAAATTGCATGCATCAGGAAAAGTGTGCACCATTAGGAAAACATTCAATATCCCAGAGCCAGATGTGAAAGAAGGTTGGGAAGAAAATGCAGTCAGGATTAGAAGAATGCAACAAAACGATGGATCTCTTTCTTGCCCAAAGGAACAAAAACCCACAGGTTTTTGTCTCCTCGCCTAAAAGAGGGCAAGAGATTTTCTTTTAGTCTCAGCAAGTGATTTTGCATTTGCAGAAATGATTTTCGTGTAAATAAGACAAATAAACTATCATGCATCTGGGTTTACACTGGTGGTGCCATTAATGGGTCTCCTCTAGGCAGCCAAATATCTTGACCAGTCTTCAGAGTGGAACAGTACTTTCGACCATAACCCACCACGAGGAAAAATACAACATACATATAAATAATCTAAATAACATAAACAATAAATACTAAAACACACAAACACATACCCTAGATTTAATCCCTGATTTGCACTTGGCCCTCTACAAGTACAGACCATGACTGAGAATGGGGTATTCAGATTAAGCCCAGGAATCCAATTTCACTCTCTTTGCCAGCCAGTCAAAAGCATCAAGGTTCAGGGTTATCTCTACCATTTTGCCTAGAGCAGAGGTTCCCAACCTTGGGTAACCCGGGCTTGTTTGTTTTTTGGACTGCAACTCCTAGAAGCCTTCACCACTAGCTGTGCTGGCTGGGGATTCAGGGAGCTGCAGTCCGAGAACACTTGGGTTACCCAAAGTTTAGAAGGTGCGGGATAAAAATCTAATAATAAATAAAATAAATAAATAAAGTTGGGAACCACTGAAACATCTGAAGGATTTCAAGGATGTCCAACAGAGGTGGAAGAAGGCTGATGAAACTTCCTCCATGACTTTCGTGTTCTAACTAAATGTCTGAGGACTTGATCTTCTCTTCCAAACATATTTTTAAAAGAATAGCATTATTGTGGATTCTATCATTGTACACAAGGCTTTTGACTTGGTCTTAGAATGGCTGCCCTCAGGGGCGGTTTTTCCATTAAGCAAGTCAGATTCAGCTGGTGGTTTAGTTGGATTTGTCTTAAAATCCAATCAGTGGAGGCTGGCAACTCTGCTACATAAAGATGATGGATCCACTCCGGGATTTATTCTATCAAATACGTTGAACTCTAGTCCCCAAATACACCTTGCCCAGCTCCTTTAAAGTTTGGGCTAACTTCCCATATGGTGCTGGAGTCACCAGCCTTCACTAGGTTGAATAGAAGAGAGGGCACTATCCTATCATTCATTTATGCAGCAAAATGTCTTGAGCTCTCCCTGTCAAGGTCTGCATGTGTGTTTAAGAGTGGTAAAATGATGATAATGGGAGGGGGGGGTTTGCAGGGAAAAAGGGCTTTGAAGATGAAACTGCTTTGAAAAGTGTGGCTTGAACTTTGTGGTTTGCAAAACAGGCCACCATTTTTCAAAACAATTAGCCAGCTCTGGCAGAACAAGGTCAATGAATTATAAATAATCTTGGCAACAGAATAAATGTTTTGCTTATGATTTTTAAAAAGATAAGATTATTGCAAAGCAGAGCTGTATTGTGGAATGTTATAGTACTGGAAAATGTAAATCCATAGAATATATGTAGTTATATAGGTTTTACATTTTCATGTTATTACTAGGCTAGCCATAAGTTTGGACAGGAATTTCCTAAGAGAGCAAGAATAATCAAAACATAAATGTTTATTAACATATTTTCCCCCAGGCCAGGAAAATGAGTAAATGCAGTCTATGAGATTTTATATCATAGTTGTATGCACAACAGTTTCCTACTATTGTAAAAACTGAGTGAACAGATAAGAAATTATTTATAGTAATAGGAAAGGAAAACAAATGGTAAGAGATAGGACACACATGATCAACAGGGCATTCATCGCATCAGCACAACTCCACACCACTTTGGGCACATATATTAAAAAACAACATTCATGTTGCAGTACAGCAATAGACTTCATTTCCAGATGCTGACACCCACAACCATTGTGAGTTTTCCTCCATGGATTTTAACTGGCTTGGAAGACCTGAGGAGGACTTTTAATGAATTCTGGAGGTCATTCATTTATAAGGTCACCAAAAGTTAGAAGATGGCACATAGCAGCAACATGACAGACCGCAATCCTGACCAGTTCATTCAGAAGCAAGGCTGGATTGCCCTATCAGATAGTTTCAAAATGATCC